TATTGTATGCTTTTAGGTGTTTATAGAAGTTAGATTAGGCAACTTTCACATAGTATATAGTAGTTGAGCCAAACTTTGAAGGTTATTAATATTTTCGCCCAAACCAGTAATTTGTGTACTTTAACTCAAAATTACTGTGAAAAGACAGAATAATGAGGACATAAATTGCTTGGAAAAATATGAAGTCCTGGATGCAGGCAGGATACTGGTGATGTTAGCAATGTTTTGAGAATGGTTAATTTCTAAGAATATAAAAATTAGGATGTAAGCTCCTAGTAGCACTGATTATTGATTAAGGAATAGGTAAGCAACCTTATATTTTTATTTTGTTTTTGAGTTTATTTTTACAATCTCAGTAAAAATTTTAAATTTAAATTGTCCTTTGTATTATCTTTTACTTATGGAATTATTCCAATCTCAGCTAAAAATATGTGTTTGAACATAAGCTCATACTTGAACATAAGGTAAAACTGCCATTTGAATACATTTAGAATGTCACCTCAGTATCAAAAGAGATTTCTTGAAATATCTTGACAGAATCTAATATTTTCCTTCTGTTTCTCCTAAGAATCTTTTCCAATAGAATTCTTTTCCAATAAAATGAACTCTACATATGCAGTTATGCTGCTTTAGAAATGAAATGTCAAAAGATAGCCCCAATATAGTCAAAGATATAGGTTCTATTCCAAGACCTATATCATGATTGTAATTATGAAAATAAATTTTATTTCAAATACAGTAAGTGAACACAATGAGGAAGAAATATGTAGTGTGCTTTCAATAATAAAGAGTATACAAATGTTTATAAAATGCAGTAAGTTGAAGAAACATTTTCTCTAACTCAGATTTTTCATGAAAGACAGATAGATGTCACACTGAATAGCTAGAGAGTATGAGTCTAAAAATATTATGCAGCAGTGCCAGAATATTATTTTCCAGTACCAGTAGAAAATTGTTATTAAGCTGTAAAATTAAATATGTAATGCTAATGTGCTGAGTTAATTTACATTTTGTGGAATAACTTTATTTTTTCTATATTAGCTGGCTGGCAGAGAAATTGAACAATATTTGGTGGTGTTTTAAAGTGATTTCATAAGCGTCTAACTTTGAGACTCCAAACATAAATCTGGAAATAAATAGTATATGGTATCTTCAGCTCCTCTGCGGACTGAAGTATAAGTCCCCCACCATTTCTCCACATAACTTTTCCTGAGAAGACAGTTGTCGTTGTTCTGGCAAGTTTTTTCCAACCTAAATTTTGGTCACGTTTAAAAGGAAAACTATGAAGGTTACCAATATATTTTAAAGATAATTTTTTAAAATTGTAATAGTGAAGAACATATAAATAATACTGAACTATGAAAAGTAAAGCATGTCTTCCACATCTCTTTCTATACATAGTATATAATACTAAACATAATGGATAAAAAGGATATGCTATAACTGATACCCTGAAGCATTATTTTTAACCTCAACAATAATACTTTATAGCTCTCTTGAAATTTAGATCATGTAATATGTATCTTTTTGTGCCTGGCTTATTTCATTTAATGTAATATCCACCAGGTCCATCCATATTGTTCAAATGGCTGGATTCAAGTCATTTTATGGTTAAATAGTATTACAACATAAGCCACATTTTCTTCTTTCTTTCTTTCTTTCTTTCTTTCTTTCTTTCTTTCTTTCTTTCTTTCTTTCATGTATTTAGTACAGTGTCTCACTATGCAATTCGGACTCAGTGATCCTCCTGTTTTCAACCTACCCAGCTGTGGAATTATAGACATGCACCATCGCACCTCATCTCAGTGGCCAGCTCAGTTTGCTCAGAGGTGGGGCCAGCACAACATGTGGTGCCAGAGATTGAACCCTGATCCCTGTGCTTGCCTAAACAGGTGCTTAGTCCATTGAGCTATCTTGCTGGCCTACATTTTCTTTACTTGCTCATCCATTGATTGCGTTTGGTTACAAATCTTGGCTGTTTTGAATACTGCTACAGCAAATAGGGGTATACTATATCTCTTCAACATGCTGATTTCATTTGGATTATATACTTAGTGGTGGGATTACTGGAATATGTGGTAGTTCTGTTTTTTAATCTTTTGAGTAACCACTACACTATTTTCCATAAAGGCTGTCTAACTTACTTTCCTACAAATAGTGTGCAAAGGTTTCTCTTTTCTCTACATCCTCACCAACATTTGTTATCTTTTGTCTTTTTAAAACTAGCCATTCTAGGCTGGCCAAATAGCTCAGCAGATTAAAGTGCCTGCAAGCAGGCACAGGGGCCAGGGGTTTAAACCCCAGGCCTGCTGTGCCGGTCCCACCCCTGGGGCAGACTGAGAGGGCAATTAAGACTGGATGTGGTGGTGTGTGCCTGTAATCCCAGCTCTTGGGAGGCTGTAAACAGGCGGATCACTATGAGTCTGATCTAGTAGTGAGACCCTGAATACCCTATAGACCCTTCCCTAAAATACCAAATAAAAAAACAAAAAGAAAAACAACAACAACAACAAAAAAAAACAGTGTTGCTGGAGTGAAGTGATATAATGGTTTTGATTTATATTTCATTAAAGATTAGTGATGTTGAGCATTTTTTCATATACCTGTTGTCCAATCTTTGTATTCTTTTGAGAAGCATCTATTCAGATCTTTTGCTCATTTTAAAATTAGATTATTTATATGGAGTTTTGTTTGTTGGCTTGGTTTAGTTTTGCTGCTGAATTGTTTTGAATTCCTTGTATATTGTAGATATTAATTCCTTGTTAGATGTGTAGTTTACAAACATTTCCCCATTCTGTAAATTATCTCTTCGCTTTGTTTCCTTCCAGGCCAATGTCACATGTTTTCCTATTTTTCATTTAGTTGTTTCATAGTTCCAAGTCTTGCAATTTTTATATCTGGTGAGGACAAGGGTCTAATTTCATTCTTTTATATGTCTCTAGTAAGTTTTCCCAACACTATGTTGAAGAGACTGTTCTTTTCTTATTGTATATTCTTAGTAGCTGTACTGAAAATCTTTTAAGTATAGATACATTTATTTATTTCTGGATTCTCTGTTTTGTTGCATTGGGGTGTGTATGTCTATTTTTATTCCACCACCATGCTATTTTGGTTAATATAGCTTTGTATTATATTTTAATTTCAGGTGTGGTATAATGCCAAATTCACCTGCTCCCCAAGGTTATTTTGATTATTTGGGAGTTTTAGTAGTTCTATGTTTGTTTTAGGATTTTTTTTTTCCTATTTCTGTGAAAAATTTTAGTTGTACTTTAGTAGAGATGTATTGAATCAATCAATTTGGATAGTATAGATTTTTTAAGAGAATAAGAAATAGTAAAAAAAAAAAAAAAGAAACTATACAGGATTTCACTAAATAAAATGATAGGAATCCAACAATGTTTGTTATGTTGCATACTATTGTCTTCAAATTAGTTGTTCAGATTACCAGATATAAGCATGCAAATATAGTCAAAAAATTAAAGAGAGAAAAAATAAAACATTAACTTCTCTTTTCAACAGATCAGCAGAAATCAGCAGTACAATTGCCTAAGTTGTCCTGTGGATATTTTAATAATATTAATTCTTCTACTCCATGAACATGAGATATCTTTTCATTTATTTGTAACACACAAACTATGTGTATGGGTCTTTGTCTTATTTTAGATCTATACCCCATAAACAGTTTATATTTTTATTTTTATTTTATGTATTTAGTACAGGGTCTACAGGGTCTTACTGCACAGATCAGACTCATAATGATCCTCCTGTTTTTAGTCTCCCCAGCACTGGGATTACAGATGCATGCACACTCTCACTGTCCATCTCAGCACACCCTGGGGCTGGGGTCGGGAAAGCACATCGGGGATTGAACCCCAGCCTCTGTGTTCTGCCTTAGTAGGTGCTTTAGTCTGCTCAGGTATCTGGCTGGCCCTAACAATTTCTTTAACAGTTTATTTGACAACTGCTTTGGTGCTTATGAATATAAACTTAGACTATACACCTTCATTTGTTGTCTTATCAACTCTAAATACTATGCAAGTGGATCAGGATTGTACTATAAGGACATGCCAAACCCTTGACAGTCTCAAGGGATATGAAATTCAGAACTCAAAAAAAAAAAGAAAAGAAAAGAAAAAGAAATTCAGAACTCACATGATAGATGCATTCATTCATTCACTCATAAATTGTCATTTAATTTTCTCTATAAAGTATGATTTAACTCTCACACTGCTTCTCAAATAAGAGGGAGAAGCATATGATACTACCCCAGTCCAGCAGCAGAACATATGAGTCTTTTATAAACCCTTTTTCAGAATGCACACGACTTCTTTCCAACCCGCAAGTAGAACATGCTTACCTGAGTGAAAAATCATTGCATAGACTTCTGATGTGCCTGACTGTGAGTATGTTGTGCAAGTGGTCTAGAAACAGATAAACAAATGAACAAAAAGGAAAATTATATGTATATCATATATAATTATATATTTATAATGATTAAGATATATTTTCAAGTTAGCAGGTATCATTCTCTTAGCTCTAACTCTTGTCTCATTATTTCGTTGTTGACCCTAGTAAGAAGCTGTCCTTCCTAGTTAGTTCACAAGCATTCTGGTGTGAGTATTAATGAACGGAGAACAGCAAATCAAAGTAGGGATGTGTGTAGCATAGGTGAGCTCATTGTTTAGATGTGTGGCTTGTGCAAGTCATATTTGTGTCCTGCAAAGTTTTATCAGGGGATGTTCAGAATTTAGAATAATTGAAAGTCTAATTCTGAATAACAAACTCAATCTATATTTTATACCCTCAAACTTGGTAGGAAAGACTTAGAGGTCTGTGATCTTGTTTGAAGATCCATCCAGTAGAGTTTAAAAATCACAATGAAAAGGATTCACCAATCTGGAAAGCTGGTTACACAGCATTGAGTTGCCTGTGTAGCACCTGAGGGTAAGTGAAAAGCCTAACATGAGAAATACTAATGGAGTCCTCTGTTCTTTTGGCAGACTGCAGCTGAATATGTGAAATCTCGACTCCCAGAGGCCCTTAAACAGCATCTTCAGAACTATGAAAAAGACAAAGAAAATAGTGTGTTGTCTTACCAGACCATCCTTGAACAGCAGATTCTCTCAATTGACCGAGAAATGCTAGAAAAATTGACCGTATCTTATGATGAAGCAGGTATGCTTGTTTTAACATTCACACACAAATTTTTTTCCATGCAAAAAATTTTTTGTAGATCTTGTTTAAAGTTAGACGTCTCCTGGCACATGTCTGTAATTCCACCACTCAGGAGGCTGAGGCAAGAGGATCCCATGAGTTAGAGGCCAGCATGAGCTACATAGCAAAACCCTGTCTCAGAAACCACATACATACATACACACCTTTTTATGAGGTAAAAGATTAAGGGCAGGCTAGATTTAAAGTTATATCATATGGGTTAATAGTATCTGTACAGTTTTAATGTCAAAACTTTTTTAGGAGATTGCTAAAAATGGCTCTTAAATATCAAATACCTTTACATTTTTGCCCTTTTTTTGAAAGGTGGAATTTTCCTGACCTTTTATCAACCATGTACAACTATTGATATAATCTTTTAAAGTATTACTTCATTTTTGGGGTACTAGCTAAAAACTTTTACTTTTGATAATCTGAGAGCTGTTATTTGATTCAAGTATTTTCTTTTTCAATTACAGATATTTTCTTTTCTAAAGAGGGATTTAAAAAAAAAAAATCTTTTTTGAGCCGGGTATGAATACACACACCTATAATCCCAGCACTCAGGAGACTGGAGCAGGAGGATTGCTATGAGTTTGAGGCCAACTTGTTCTACAAAGTAAAGTCCACCTGAGCTACATAGTGAGACCCTGTCTCAAAAAAAAAATTGTTTTTAAATTTTAAGTTGAGTTTGACTTCTTTTTCATAGCAACACAGATTAAACTGATCCCTTAATACCATAGCAGAGATCTTGATTTCCTGTGTGCCTTAAATTAATAAATGAGCTTATTAATGAAGTTGTAGACAGCCCTCCTTTAATATATTTTTATCTTTACATGATCTGTTAGCTAAATCCCAGTTTTAATGAAACTTGTACAGTATTACTCTATATTAAATTTTTAAAATTATAAGAATCTCAATTATTAAAATATTTAGTAGAAGTAAATTTGTGCAGCAGCAATATCCTGAATAAATTTATTGTATCTCTCCCACAAAAAAGGAGGAAAAAGTACAGAAAAATGGATTTCTAATGTTGATAGTATTGTTCTCTGTTTAAAAATTGGAACTTCTGCTTTTATTTCCGTGGCCCACTTTTCTGCTTATCTCCCCTTTTCACTGGCTCTGACTTGATCACCTTACTGCCATAAAATGCAGACCAGGGAAGGGCCTTGTCTTCAGGATGCATTGTAATATAAACAGTTTCAGTGCTTTATTCTCAACACCTGAGTTCAAGCTAAGATAGTACACAAAAGAGCAAATTTCAAAACAAAACAAAATACTGCATTTCTTAACCACAAATGCCAGTTTTTTAGTTATTGAATTGTCTTCACTTTCATCCCACCCTCTAACCCCTTCACTTCTCTGAAGCAGGATCCACATTTCCATCCTTGCTCAGGATGTCTTTACTTCTCTGACTCTGTTTTATTTTTCTAGACACATTGGTCTCTTCTGCCAGTTGAATGATTAGTCATTTGGTCACTTATACAATGGATATTTGTCATATTCTTAATAGTCTTCTCTTTTAAAATATTATTTATCTCTTATCCTTGATGGCATAAAGTACAGATGTGATCAACCCTAATCAAAATTATATCTAAATATTCATAGTCTCTTTGAGATTATAGAATTTATATGCTAAACCATACTCATGTTATGGTGAGACCTACAGATTTGCTTGAAATAACACAATCACTTAGTTGTAGAGCTGAGATGCTAATGTCTTTATTGCTAGGATGAGATTTTGCTAGGGTATGCTAAGGTTTATGGAGTTTCCGGGGGTTTCCAGTATTCTTAAAGAAAGCAGGTCTCTAAGAATAACTGTTGTACTCTTGTAAGCGTTTTACAAAGGGCAATTTGTAGTAATCAAGTGGTTATTTTTATAGCCATCACCCATGCCACATTAGTCATACCCTACTTTTCTACCTATCCCCCTTTTCACTGTCCCTATGCTCCATCCTCTCTGACTCTATCATCCTACTGCCATAGGACGGGAAATAGGGAGCAGTCTTGTCTTTACCCCTTGATGGGTAGACAATGGGTTGATTGGGTTTTGAGCTTCTTGCCAAGTATTCGGCCTTGTGGGCTAATAGAGGAATTTGGATAGTGTCTTGATTACTTTTCTCTTATTGCTGAGACAAAAATACTTAGTGCCCAAAGTTGAGGGAGGAAAGGTTGATTTGACTCACAGTTTGTAGAGCCTTCAGTCTATATAGCCAGCTGGCTCCAAGGAGGGTGGCATAGGAGGCAAGCATTAGAGAAGAGAAACAGCAGTTCATGGCAGGCAGAATGGAGCAAAACAAGCACAAGACCTCAGCAGCATCTGTCTGCCTCTTTTATACTAAATCTAGGCTGCTGGGATTAGGGCGGGTGCCAAAGGAGTCAATGGTGTGATTTAGTAATCACCCACCCTTAAACCTAGCATTGCATCATGAAGCAATCACACACTCTAGATCCAGCCACCTCTGAAAAAGCCCTATGACAGCATAAGTCTTTGGGAGGATATCTAAACATAAGCTGTAACAGGTAGGAATGGCAACCTGCACTTGGTGGGGTGATGTTGCCTACACAGAAGCAGGTGTCAAAACTACTGACAGTCACTGCTGAACCACAAGGCTGCTTGAAAACTACTTGTTTCTCATAGCCACACAGAGCCTGCTTCTTCTACCCTCTATAAAGGGCTTGAGTCTTTAACTTTCCCCAGAGGTCTCCTCTGACCCTACAACCACACTAATGCAAGTTCTTATTTGCTTAGTATCTACTACATGTTTAGCAATGTGCTGCACTAGGTAATAAGAAAAAGAAGGGGAGAGCATTGAAAAAATGTTCTGGAACCTGAGATGTAGGAAACAGATCTTTAATGTCTAGTGAGGAAGCTAAAACATAATTGTATGACCTCTGAGGAAAAACTCCCTAGGAATTAGAGACTAAAGATATCCTATAATATCATTCACTATCAAAAAATTTAGATTTGGGGGTCAAGTGATAGTGAAAGTGGCTCAGGTTTTACATGCACTTTTTAGAGGAGGACATTACTATAAACTATGAAACAGAAATGCTGAAAGTGGCACTGTAAAGAAAAGAGGAATGTAATTTTATAGATGAAGGGCTAACAATTAGGTACCAAAATGGTAATAAGTGTTAGTCATAACCTCTATCTCCCAGTTTTTCCTTCTATAGGAATAATTTTCGAATTTCTTGAATTGCTGTTATCTTCAGAGATACACGTTAGGGGCCAGGGAGATAGCTCAGTAGAATAAGCACTTGCCTGGCAAGTGTAAGGGCCTGAGTTCAACCCCTGTTTCCACCAAAAAAAAAAAAAAAAGAAAGAAAGAAAGAAAGAAAGAAAGAAAGAAAGAAAGAAAGAAAGAAAGTACAGAGGTACACATGTGCTTTGCATGGCCTGTAAGGGCAACTACTTGGGTGTAGAATTAGCCTATCCATAAACTCTGTCTCAGTTACCCCTCTTTCATTGCTGGGACAAATACCTAACACCCAAAATGAAGAAAGGAAAGGTTTATTTAGCTCACAGTTACTGGAAGTTCCAGTCCACACTTGGCTGACTCCAAGGCAGAGCAGCACATGGCAGAGAGCAGCCTTCCAGGGTGGTGGCAAAGAGCAAGAGAACAAATGGGAGGAGTAGCGGCAACAATGGCAACAGAGAGCAAGTCTTTCTCCTTTAAATTGCATTCAGGCTATCTGCCCCAGGCAGTACTCATACCCATAATCCCAGCAGTACAAAGACCTGTAATCACAGTGGATCATGAGTTAATCTCAAACTCTAGAAGTTCCACCCCATGACTGCATGAGGCTTTGGGGGGACAACTAGACACAAACCATAACACTTTGCAACTGAAAACAGAGGACTAAGAAATAAAATACTCTAAATCTCAAAATTTTATTCTAGCTTAACTGATGTTGTCATTAGCAAAGTAATTTTTTAGAATCTTTATTTCTTCATCTATAAAACTGAGCTAGTACTATTTATTGAGGGTATTATAATAAAATATATCATGTTGGGGCATGCTACAAATCAGGCTGCAAATGCTAAATTGTGCCACTAATGCTGGATGAAAACACTTAGATCTTTTCCTCAAACCACTAAACAATATTTTTAGGGCCTTTTCTTTACATGTACTATTTGCAGAGGTAGAGAGAATTTTTTAAATGATCTTCAGGAGTTTTGAGAAATTAAGCATTGTCTCTCTGTTAAGCCATCCACTCTGGGCTTAGTTTGCCTTTGTTCATCACAACAGGATTCAGAGTTGCAGATTTGGTGGGGCCTGTGTATGTATGGGTGAATGATTCTTGGTGTATGGTTCATTTTTTTTTCTTTTTTTAAGAGTAAGAAGAATTTATTGAGAGAAAGAACGCTTCTGTCTAAGAAGGCCATAAGGGGGTCCAGAAAGTGGGTTGCCTGCCAACTCCACTTCTCAAGGGTGTTTAATGAGCAAAACCATGAGCTGAGATGGGACTGAGCTATAACCATCAATAAGGTTATAAGAATAGTCACTTAGACAGTGTTGATCCAATGGCACCTCATAGGCTGGGTGTCATGTGGGACAAAATTATGGTCAACCAGTAAGTTTACAACAAATATAGTTGCTAGGGAAACATGGATTAAATGAGGATCAAAAAGGGAAACAAGTCATGCAGCAAGTGAACATGGGCTCATTGTATGTTGTAAAATCAAAAGGTTACTGCTTCTTCCTCCATAACTTACATATTAATGATTTTAATCAAAGAAAGAGGAGATAATAAGCAAAAAGATACTATTTAACAGAAAAACCTTTCATCATAATACAAAGGAATTAGGACAGAAACTTGGTAATAGTATCTAATACCAGGAAATATAACCTCACTATACTAAGATACTCATTTGCTTCAACTGCTTAGATTATGTCCATGATTTCCAAGTTGTTTTCGTTTTCTTACATCCTTAGTTTAGCTCTCTGAGTTTTAGGAAA